GACTTTATGTAGTAGGTGTTAAAGAGATATTTCTTTTCTAAAAATTTATGCTCGGCTTGAAAGTACAGTTTAGGTCTAATGGAAAAAAACTGATAAGAATAAAGTAAGAACAATGAGGGGCCAGGGAGATGGCTCAGTGGAATAAGCGCTTCCCTGGCAAGCACAAGGGTCTGAGTTCAATCCCCGATTCTGCCAAAAAAAAACACGTAAGAACAATGAGATCCGTACTGTATGGAAAAACAGGAGATGGTTCCTATTCTTAATGGAAAAGCTTTCCAGAGTGGGGAAGGAAACAGGTTCTATTCCGTCCACTGCGTGTTTCCCACTCCGCATCAAATCACGCACTTCTCTTGCCTTCCGTTTCTGAAGCGGCAGGCAAAGCGGTCACCAGCTGCCGCAGGGGCCACGTGAAGCACCTTCCCTCCCGGCTCCTGCGTGGCAGTCCTCCCCGAGCCGTGCAGATGTTCGACATTTAGCATGTAGCAGCACTGGCTGAGCATCAGAGACCCGCTATCTGCGAATCGAGCGTCATGGTTTAATCTGGGCTTTGTCACTGAAGAGAAGCGAATGCAAACCATTATGCACCAAGGATGGAGTTTTATTTAGGAAATAGAACATTTTGTTACACCAACAGGGAAAGAAAGCAAAACAGGCAGAGTCTTATTTCTTACTCACATGTGAACCTGCTCTTGCCTTCTTGGGTTGTCACCACACGAGTTCTTTATTACTGCACCTTGCTGGTTCTTCAGCAGAAGGGAAATGTCCCTGCACATGGAGGAACTGGTTGGGTATCCTTTTTCTCCAAACTCTTAAAATTATCTTTACATCAATTTTATTTGTTCAGGGCTCTGAAAACTTTGCATCTGCCATGAATTTCTACTGTGAAAAATGTCTGAGGCGCACTAGCGTGGCTCCATAACACATCCTCAGTCTGTGTCGCCTGGGGCTGGCTCTCCTCTGACGTCACAGATGAGCCTGCGCTAAGGGGGCCTCTTGGACCGCAGGGTCACAGCCCAGAAGTCCAGGGCAGCGCCGCGTCTACTCTGCCTCCCCAGGTCTAGGTTTGCTGTTGAATGAACAATGGGCAGTGCAAACACAGAACAGAAGTGGGATGAGTTACTACAGCTGCAGGAAAGGATAACCTTTCTATTTTCTCAGCTCTGTAACCTTTCTCTGCTCCAGGAACCCGGCGCTCTGTATCACCACTTCCTTGCTCTGGAAGTATCTTCATTTTCTCTTGTTCAGTGAACTGGAAAATGTACTGCAATGCGCACTTTACTTCTGTTTCTCTTTTACTAAAACACCATTTTTCCTGAAATACTGGGAAAGCGGCAAAACAACCTCGATGAAAGTGTTTCCTGAAATCTCAAAACATAATCCTAGAGCTGCTGGATCCCCAGGACGCAGGTTTCCTGGGAAGAGGTGTGGAAAATTGTACTTTAACGGTGCTTCTAAAGAATCTAATTTATTGAACTGTAAGTTCATTACTACTTCTGCTGGTGGACTTCCCTATTTCTTTTGAGT